AGAAAGGAGCCTTCCTAATCTTTTCCAAAGTTAGACTATTTGATTGTACCTTCTCTGGAGAAATAAATGATCATTACCTTACTCAAATCTGTATGTAATTATCCTTCCACTTCATCCTTCCCTGTACCCTAATATGATCCCTAAATCCCTACACCGTAGCTACAAAGAGCTTTTCTTCACTTCGGGTTAATCTGCCATATTCTTACCAATTTATTTTGTAATCTAAGCATTTAAACTTAATATATTCTCACAAACATCAGTGAACAAACATATACAGAATTATCCATCATCAATACAAATAAAGTATGAGAATAAAATCTGTTACTGAACTATTACGTGCTGAATTTACCACCAAGTCAGTTTGGCTAAAAACAATGTTCAATATTAAGCCAAGGTAAGTCATCCTGCAGGTCATCTGCAATGTCCTAATATTGTGTATTTTCTCATGCTGAATTCTGTGATTACTGTTAAAACATGCAGTTGTTGTCAAGACAGTTCTGACTCGTGGTGACTCTTCCTGTGTCAGAGTAGAACTGAGCTCTGTATGGTTTTCAATGGTTGGTTTTTCAATAGATCACCAGGCCTTTCTCCTGAAGTGCCTTTGAGTAAACTCAAACCTCTAACCATTCAGTTAGGAGCCAAGTGTGTCCACCATTTGTACCACCCGGGAACTTAGGTAAACCTCAAAGTACTATACTTTTCTCACCTCTTCTTTCCCGAATTTAGAAACATACATATCATACTATTTTACTTATTTGACTATTAGTGATAATACTTAATAGTTTCCTAATTTAATAACTAAGAACAATGATAATGAATGAAAGATGTTTTGTGTGTATTTCTCAAAATCCTTAAATTGCATTTTTCTATAGAGCAGTTAATTCTTGTAAGTTAAAGACTTCAAAGAAAAAGCATATTGTCATAAGTTTGCTTTAGTAATTTTTTAAATTCAAGGCTCTTAAAATAATAGGCAGTCTGCTTCTGTAAAGATTTACAGGCTTGGAAAACCTCTGGGGCAGTTCTACCATCCTATAGTGTCACTATGAGTTGGAATCGACAATTGCAGTGGGTTTGGATCTCTGATTATAAAGGTAGTAGTAAATAAAATATTTACTATATAACCTCTTTAAAGCCGTTTATTAACTATTTCTATTTGGTATCATCATTATCACTGTTTGAACTGTTACCATCATCATAAATAGAAGTGTTTCTAATTGAAGACACCATCACATCTACAATGCCTTTTTTTGGGTTTTCTTCCAAATCAGTCTGTACTGCTCCAACTTCTGCTAGCTTCCATTCAAGTTCTGCAATAAATAACAATCATTAAACCAGATAAAATACTGGAAGAATGAAAATAATAATAATTTTTCATCTATATGAAACAGAAGTTGACTCATAAAATTAATGTGGAAATGATGACATATTTAGAAAACTGGATGACAGTGAAAGTACTACACATAACAAAATAATATTACATATAGCTCAGAGTATACTTCAATGAGGGAAATTATGGTTAAAATAATTTGTAAATGACTGAATTTAAGTTATTTGAAATTTCAAATCAAGAAGTTAGGAAAAGAATAAGGCCAGTGAAAGCAGAAGGAATATAGTGAAGAGAAGACTTCAAATATACAAGAGGAAAAACAAAGGGATGATCAAACAAAATCAAAAGCTAGTTCTTTGAAGAAAGTAATAGATGTACCTCAGGCAAAACATAACAAGATAAAGAAGGAAAGCAATCAACAAAGGATTTCATGGGAACTTCAAAACAATTAAATATTTTGTTCATCAAAGGACTTTATAAAAAAAAAAAAAGTGAAAAGACATCCAACAGATTGGGAGAATGTTTTCGGGAACCATATTGCCAATAAGGGTCTAATTCTAAAAAATATATAACACTTCTCAAACTTGACAACAGAAACACAAATAGCCCAATCAAAAATTCTTTAGCCAAAGAACTTGAGTAGTCATTTCACCAAAGAAATATGCAAATGACCCATAAACAAAAGATGTAAATCAAAACCACAATGAGATGTATCACTTAAATCATATCATACATAAAACTAAACTCCAGTGTTATTCAAGGCCTAAGTTGAAAAACAAAACTTTGAAACTAATAGAAAAAGTTTAGGAGCTCCTTTTCACCTTGGAAACAGAGAAGGGTTTTTAAAAGAAAGGACAAAAAGTATACAATAAATGAAAAGTGATAAATTTTAACTATGACAATATGTAACTTTTGTCTGACAATCAAAGGAAACGATAAGTCATAGCTGGGCAAAACATGTGATTAGTATCAGAATTGTTTACATACACACACACCCTTATAAATCAATAACACAGTCAAACATGGGCAAAACATATGAACAATTAGGAGAGGAAATTGGAATGACCATTACAAATGGGAAAAAAAAAAAAAAAAGCTTAACTCCACTGGTAATCAGGGAAATGCAAATTTAAACAATGACAAGATACTGTTTCATATCCTTCAGAATGGGAAAGAAAGAAAAAAAAAAAAACAAAAAAAAACAACCAGCCTAACAATACTAAAATGTGCTGGGGGAAATGGGACTCTCATACTTTGCTTATGGAAAGATAAATTTATGCCATTATTCGTAGAGCAATTTGACAATATCTAGTGAAATTGAACCTGGAGTAGCTACAGTGAATGGAAGAAATAAGTAAAAGAGCTCAACAACAGATACAAATGGCGGCTAGAGAAAGGCAAAATACGGGATCATGCATTATTGTTAGGTGCCATCGAGTCGTTTCCCAATCACAGCCACCCCATGCACAGCAGAACGAAACACTGCCCCATCCCACACCAGCTCCATGATCCTTGCTATACTTGAGCCCATTGTTGCAGCCATCATAGCTGCTGTCAATCCATCTCGTTGAAGGCCTTCCCCTCTTTGGTCGACCCTCCACCTTACCAAGCATGACATCCTTCTCCAAGCAACGGTCCCCTCTGACAACATGACCAAAGTACGTAAGACAGTCTGGCCATTCTCGCTTCCAAGGAGCATCTGGGCCGCACTTCCTCCAGGACAGATCTGTTAGTTCTTTTAGCAGTCCATGGTACTTTCAGCATTCTACGCCAGCACCACAACTCAAAAGCATCAACTCTTCTTCGGTCTTCCTTATTCATTGTCCAGCTCTCACAAGCATACGAGGCGATTGGAAATA